ATAAACACTAATCTCATATTATAATTATATTATTTTTATTATTTTGTAATAGTTAAATCAAAGTCTATTTTTTAATTAAAGGAAGGAAATAGTGTCCTTGGTGGGGGAGAAAATAGGAATTAAAAATTTCATATCCTTGTTATCAACAGAGAAAAATTATATATAATATTCTTTTATCAAAGCATTAATGTCAATAGTTCACATAAGGAAAATCTTTGATCATATCGACGAAGTTTCTTCCAGACCAAACGATATATTTATGTACAACCAAACGTTTCAACAGCCATGGAGCCCACTGCATGCCCTTCACTTTTCTATTGCGTTGTCGGCAATTAATCACAAAGTTGAAATAGTTATGGGCAGACTATAAATGTGACCTGTTTCTGATTTCTTTTGGACTTTCTAATAAATTCATGGTATATGTCTAGATTTTATTTGTTAAAGAAATATTTAATTTCGTTCCATTTATTCTAAACCACATTAGCTCATGGAGGTTGGGAATTGGAAAAGCAGGGGATATATATTTTTTCTTAGTATTGTTCTAATATCAAATAATTTGGTATTTATTCGTTTGAATATACATATAGAGAAATATTTTTTTGTATAATTTTTTTGTCACATTTTTTTATACAATTTGATATGTTATTAAAATAATTAATTTTTTTAATTTATATGAAACTCGTAATATTAAATGCATTCAATCATTTAATAACATATAAAAATTATATAAAAATAAAATAAAAAATTTATTTTTATAACACCACCCATATATATATAAATATGGTCAACACGTTAACACATGTCACCTAATAAAATGTTTCATGTTTTGATCTAGAAGTTATGAGAAAGAAAATTTGAACCTTGCTTCGCTATATATGTCCTTTGATTAATGATGAGTTAGGTACAAATCAAACCCTTTCTCCCTACCCTTAAAAATTCTACTTGTTCAATAATAATAATAATAATAATATTAATAAATAAATAAATAAAAATTTCGAGAAAATAATAACCCAAACCACCTTAGAAGTGTGAATATTGAGCATCTTTTTTTCCAGTGTGAATTTCCCAGAAGTGTTTGGAAGTTTGTCTTGGGTTTTTTTCAAATTAAGAGGGAACCTTTGTCTTGGACAAATGAATGGAGATGGATGCTACGACATGGAAGAGGAAGAGCTATTATTAAGAGGAAGCTCCGTGCTGCACTAGCTGCCTCAATATACTACATATGGCAGGAGCGAAATATGCGTTTGTTTAAGGATAAGTCAAGTACAGTAGATAACATTAATAGGAGAATTTCTTACTTTTTGAAATTGAAATTTTGAGTATTTAGATGATGTTAACCCCGGGTATGCCTGGGTGATTATTGTGGATATGTGGTTTACATGCAATGGAAAAGCTTGCCTTTTTCCAAAAAAATAACCCAAACCACCTTAGATCATTAAATCCTGCTGTTCATTGATTCTCCTTCTTAGCCCGACGCATTTTTACTATTCAAACTAAGATATTACCACCTTCCATCAATTTAATTAATTACTTCTTGTATTTCTTTTAGAATACTATATGATATCTTGTCAAGTTATATGTACTTTAAAATTATTTTAATTTTAAGAGATCTTGGACTTGGACTAAAAATCATATTAAAAAGACTTACAATTCAATAAAAAAAAAAAAACATTAAGACCAATAAAAAATAAATAAACAGAAGAGCAATTAAATATGATCGATACAAATTACAACATATATATATAAACTCAAAGAAAAAGGAGGTAATATTATCAAACGACAACCTTAAGTTAGTAGATCTAATGAAGCTCTTCATAGCCAAACGCTCCAGAGCAACCAAACACCTTTCAATAATGCTCTTTAAGAAAAAGAAAAGGCAAAAAAAAAAAAATCAAGTTACATTATCTTCTGCAATGTTAACGCGTTGGAGCTTGAAACCTAGTCAAAAAATTAGAAAAACATCTTTTCCCCTCTTTTTCTTCTTATCTATCTTCATTTCATCACTAGTTCAAAGAGTAAAAGTAAGAAAAAAAAGAGAGGAAAAAGTACTAAAAAAGTAAGAATAAAAGGCAAGGGAAAGACATGCACAAAAGAGTCAAGACAAAAGAGTGAAGAATATCTAGAAAGGAAGAAATTGAGGAAAATTAAAAAAAATGGAGGAAAGAAGAAAAACGAAAAACCATCGACGTAAAAAGAAAATTTGCTAGAATAGGAAAGAAAAATTAAGAGTTATTGTCTAAATTACAAATAAAAAAAATTTAAAAGAAATATTGCACTTTAAAAATATAAAGAAACAGTCAAATTTAAAATAAAATTAAAATTAAAATCAGAATCAAAATAGACGAAAGAGCTATCATATGTAAAATGAAAAAGGTTT